ATTTCGTTTGAAATAAATAAAAAGGTTTTTCTAGACGTAAATACTGCAAAGAATTGCTTAAAAACTATATCAGACTGGAAAACACAGCGAGGTATGAAGAAATTCTGCAAATAACTTTTTGCGTTAAAAGTCGGAGCCGGCTTGTCTATTTTCTGCCTGCTCGGAGCCACGGAGATCCGTGCTAAAATGTATGAATTTCTCCGGGGGAAATGCAAGCACGGAAGAATGGAAGTACGATTAGCTTCAAATTGTTGCTTGGGTAGCGATATTTAAATATGCTGGCTTTAATGTTGATGTAATGATACAATGTTTGGTTATCATGAACGGTAATTTGTTCCGCGCGGTAATTTGGATCCTTCAGAGGGATGACAAAAGCAGCTAACGGAGGCCAGCCAAAGGAAGGTCTGTTTTCGTTTGTTTTTTTATAAAATATTGAGCGTTTATTGTCAAATTCAATCAAGTATAACAAGAAAGAGATTGATTTATAATTTTGACTTAAAATGACAGGGTAGTTTTACGATAAGACTTCGTCTGCTAGTAGCAACATTAGAGAATCTCGTTTTTAAAACTGTTGAATTCCTATCAAGGCCTAAAATGTTGTTCTAAATGGTAAAAACCGCTATCTAATGCTATTTAGCTCCTTAAAACAACTTAATAAATTAGTGTTTTTAAAAAAATTGATATTTTAGGGACTTGTCTATTTTCTGCCTGAGACCGGATTCTCCTATTTTACCACTTGTCTATTTTCGGCGGCTCCGGGCCACCACTGATGACTGCACGCGCCTTCTTTTGGACCTTTATCTGTCCTTTATCTTTTGGACCTTTATCTGTCCTGATGGCACAAAGTGATGGACTTGACTGTTTAAGATGCGTTCCATTGACTAAGGATGTTAAACCTGGTTCAACGTGTTGTATGGGCTTTATGAATGATAACCAAATTGTATATGTATTGTTTGTAGGCTTAACAAGGTTGAATAACAGTAACCAAACACTTGATTGCAGACTCTCTACCTGCTTTTAGGTGCGGTTGACTTTTTCACATGCAGCCATTATAGAGCTGTGCATTATTTCACTGAGTCCATTAACAGCAACTGTCCCTTCGAAGCATATCCTTGCAAGAGCTACGATGATTTCAAGAAAGGGAAATGCACCTCGTGTCCATCAGGAGGCTGTCCAAAGATGGGCTACCAAGCAGAGAATAAGGGGAACAGATTCGACGGGAAATACTTCTTGCTAACTAGAGGACAGAAGCCGTTCTGTTGTACGTAATCTTGTTCCTCAATGCCGATTCAAAAATATTTGTTATATACTAAAAAAGCCTTGAGAAAATAGAAGAAGAGCATGATCTGTTTAATGTAAACAACAATGGATCCAGTACTGAGCCCTGGACAACCCCCTTTCCTTTTTTGAAAGTAGTGTTGAACTGTTATTTTTCGCAGTGTCAGAATAACATGGCATAGCTAAAGTCCAGGAGGTATGTCAATGCATATTATCAACCACATGCATGGGTCTGCATTTGTGACAAAAGTCTTGGTCCAGCCGCTCGTCTAGCAAAAGCGCACGTTCTTCTACCTTATTCTTGCTGTATTTTTAACGTGAGACGATACACTCAGAATTCAAATAGAAATTCCCCCTTATATCACTGACAATAGTTACAGCTTGCGATTAGCATAGAGTGGAAGGGGTTGAGGATGCAGTAAAACCACAGAGCTGACAGCCAAACTCCCTTAAAATAACAGAAAATGCAATATAGCTACTTGTCAATAGAGTTTTGCCCATTCAGCTATATGACACCAAATGAACAGTATTTTGAAGTAACACTCACGCTGATAGGTTTTATGTACAACTTTGTCCCATTGATATCATTTCTAACTTGCATATCACTCACCTTTCACAGCATATCACTACAAAATAACGTTTCATACTGGCACAGGCCTTTTCTCGGATCTCAGCGGTGACTCAGTCAAAGTAATAATCACAGGTGACAATGCCACAACAGAAGAAATTAAATTGCCACAGTAAGAGTTCACATTAAATTGTTTCATCAATGCCAGTTATCTTGATGGCAGTCTACTCACACTGCACTCTTTAGCATTTAACAAATTTTCCAGCGGGGGTTGGCCTTTTTACAGGAAAGCTTAAATATTTCCTCATCCTTATAACAATGATTAACATTTTTCTCTTTGTCCTTCTTACACATAAAAATTTTTGACCTTCTGATGACCTACCATTGGCCTCCCCTTGCACCAGCTTTGCAGTTTACCACGGAAATAGAACAGTGAAAAAATCCACATAAGTTTTCAATCCTCAGAAGTCAAAACGCTTATTCCTATGAAAATACCGTCAATCCTCGAATAATCCCCACACTAGAATAGGCCTCCCCCTTCGAATAAGCCCCCACTTGAAAAATAAAAGCATAATAATGACGGAGAAAAAATCATTATTTCATTATTGACTGTTAAGATTCCTTTGCAAAAAAAGGTTTTTGTAATTTTTCAATTTAATTCATTGAGAAAATTATGTCACTTTTATGTCGACCTATGAGGAAAATTTTCTTTCGACTAAACTTTGAAAACCCCACCTTGGAACCAAAGAATAAGAATATTCTGTGTTGGAACCCTAATGCACAAATTCATTAAAATATCTATTGTTTGCAGACGAGACCTCGATCCGGGCAGCATTGAGTCATTTGTCGGCATTACAAGGCACGACATTGGAAACCCGCTAAGAATCAAAGTCGTGCATACAGGATTAGTGGAGCAATGGAAACTTGAGAAGGTCGTCATTAGAAAATTCGGCACAGAGAAAGAGTGAGTTCTCTATACATAATTCCAACTAACAACAGTATCTGGTTCACAGTGGTCCTTACTGACTCTGTCTCTGTCTAGGTCCCATTTTTTTGTAAACATGCAATAGTTTGGTCACTTATCAATAGTACCAGGATCGATCCAAACAGACGTAGAACTGAAGTAACTTTGGTCTGCTTATAAAATCCAGACGTGTGTGAGAAGATATAGAAATATTACTACTCATAACGATTTACAAGAAATATTACTGCTCATCACAACAAAGACGATAATTTTTCTCTTGCAGCTTCGAAGCTTGCTTCAACCGTTGGCTAAACACCCAAGCAAATGAAGTAAGTCTTCATGAAGTAAAAGGTACTGGGAAATGCTAGCTCAAGAACATCTGGCAGTAGTATCTTTACAGAAGTTTTGACACGTCTTCATAGAATGTCACTAGGCCATTGCAAGAAATTCATAACAATGAAGCTAATACTAACACAGTCGTCCTCACTTTGACCGTACCTGCAGGGCTAGTTGTCTTATGGGAAACGTTGGTTGGGCTACAGGAAAACGAATCTCCAATACTTTTCTCTCATAAAACAACATTTACAGGTGCGCCAAAAAGTACGGTGACGACAATCATAATATCACCTGTACATTTCGAGCTCTAAGAATCTGCTTGATTCAAAAAGTTTTTTTTAGGTTTGTGCAACAAGAAGAGTTTGATTTCTCAATTGGATTCTGCAACTATTCAAAGAGAAAGCAGGCGCTTATTGGTCAAAACAAAGGGCCAATCAAATGCGACATTTCTCATCCAAATTAGTTTAAAAGCACCTGATTATCAAAGTCTGCTCAACATTTCTGAGGATTTTATACTTTGAGGAGTTTCTAAAGAATATGTGTATTTGAATGTTGCTGATCACAAAATCCGGACTTTTTGGATAGTTTATGACGCAGTCCTGCTCAAACAGAAGCTGTTACAGGGTGTTTCAAGCTTGCATAAGGAAGTCACGTTGGTTTAAAATTATGCAATACATATCTCAAATTTCAAGAATTCATGTTAAAAGGAAAGTCTCTGTAACGAAACATTGATAAAATAGTAAGAGACAATTGTCATTGCTATCTGCCAGTTAGTTTATCTGAAAATGTT